TTCGGTTGTGAATAGAGTCTCTTCTCTGAACGTCTTATATTTCCATTTGTTTTTGAACACACAACAGTGGTTCAAACTTTCTGTTCTTAAGGGATTACGCAAACTTCAGAATACCCCTCAAAAATGTTTTACAGGTAGATTTAAAAGAAGTATAAACATCAAATTTGTATCCGGTCTCTAGAATGTATTTCAGAATTGAAGTTCTATGTCGTCTTTTTCTTCAACATAGATATGTCCAGGGGATTCAACTCACTTCTGATGTCATTTATGGATATGCACTAAAACCCTTACTTGCAAAGACATACTTGTTCCCCATGTGTATGTGTAACTATACTTACATTTAAACTGGTAGATACAATGGGATGCATTCTGTATGTCTGCTTTCGACATAGAACTTTGCACCGATGTGCACCACTTCAAGTCGCCACACTCCACCCCTTCTAGAAAACAAAGCAAGAGAAGAAAGTAGAAGAAATCCATAGTAGAGACAGTAAACAGAGGTGTGAGACAAAAGAATGGTAATAACGAAGAATAATATAGTTTCATTGGAAATCATAAGTCATAGGGATTGCATGCATCTGTGCTAGCCATTGAGTACGATTTCGAGCCATATCACCAATTGTTTCCAATCATTGGTTTTGACTGTCCCGAGGACCCCCACCCAGGAAGTCTACGCCTTTCTATGTAGTTGTCTTAAACTGATTTCTGTAGGTTTCATTGACTGGTGCCATGTTTTGGTTTGACCACTACTTGCTAGCTCTTTTCCAGCCTGACCCTATGTCAGCCCGTAGAGGCAGACGATGGGCTAGGCATAAGTAACACATGTCCTAATCATCTCAATCGGTGTCACTTCACAACCTTGTCGATTGGTTTCTCCTCCTTGCCTGTTACTCGACCAATACCTAACCTCAATATTACTCACCCTCAATACCACCTGACACGGGAGGTACAACGCAGGCACCTATGATCGAAGACAGCCAGCCAGTATTTTCATGTCTTCCACTCTCAATGGCCACGGATCACAGCCATAAAGGAGGACAAAAAGGAATGCTGAGCAGTAAACCCGCCCTTTGGTTGATAGCCAGCCGGATATCACGTCTACTAAGCCAGAGGCGGCGTAAACTGGCATATGCAAAACTAGCCCTCTGTATCCGTACTGAGATTTAGTCAGAGATCAACCCATCAGCGCTGGCTGATGGTACTTCCCAAATAAGTGAAGCGGTCATGTTCTTAGTGCTTACATGGATTCACAAGGCTGTACATTCTCAATTATTATGCGCTTTTTTAACCGCAGCATTTAATCTTCATCTAGTTATCAATCTGCTATGATTACCCATGTAGGATAGTTTGATATGTAGGTCCTTCTTACTTATTTCTTCCATATTTATATATGCATACATCTATATACAGAGAGAGGGAGAGAGTGTGTGTGTGTATGTGTGTAAGACGATAAATTAATTAAAATTCAAAACAATGAAGAAAGCTGACAGGGTAATTATTAATTAACCCTATTCATCTATTCATTTGTTCAAAATTACCATTTCAATCATAATCTTATCACAAAATGTGAAACACACTCATGCCACGCAGTTCTTTCCACAAACACAAATTGAAAAAAAAACAACACAAGCGAGAGAAAAACAAATAATTAGGAATAACATTTTTATCTTTTTTGGTGGTGCTTGTTTTGTTGACTTGTTTATTTTATTTGTTTGCTTATTTATTTATTTATGTATTTGTTTACTCATAATCGAAACTGAAGAATGAGGTAAACAGAAGCTACACTCACATACTCAGAGAATAGCAAGCACTGAAGGATTATTTTAATTTAATGATAAATAAATCTTTGATATTTCATTTCAGTTTATTGACGTAGTAGTTATTACCATTGTTTAGTGTTGTTGATTTCTTTTATTGAGATGAATATCTCTCAGTTTATTATGTATATATATATATATATATATATATATATATATATGTAAACATTTGTCCTCCATTGAGTTTCGTTTCCTCACAGATATCTAGTGAATAGAATTTGTTTTTTAAAAATAAAGGGCAGAGAAGAGAAAAGTTTAAGGACTATGAGTTAAATTCAATTCTAGAGTGACTGGTGCTTTTTCTTCTTTCAATTTTGATGAGATAACCCATGATGGAAAAATTATCATTGTTAGTATTATTATCATTATATCCTTTAATTCCTAGAGGAACATAGGTTCTCAGCCGCTCGTCTCCATTGCGTTCGGTTTTCTGCCAATTTTTTCACCCCACTCCGAGTCTGCCCACACGCTTTCATCTCCTCTTCACATCACCGCCTCCAAGTCACCCTTGTACTGACGACCAACTCGCCGCCGCTTCCCTTTCGGGTTCCACTCGAGCAATGGCTTGTCTAGTGATATCACTCACTTTATGGTTTCCTCAGAGTATGGCCAATCCACCTAAATCGATTTCTTCCTGCCTATTTGTTTCACAATTGGTTCCTGGTTGGTTCGCTGATTGCCAGAGATCCCTGTTGCTGATCCTCTCTGACCGGCCATCTGATCTTGAGTATAGAGCGAAGACAGTTGTTAATGAAGGTGTGTAGTTTGTTTGAGGCGCTGTTTATGACGCACTGGCCAAGTCTCTGATCCGCATAGTAGCACTGACTGACTTTACATTGGAGTTGAAAATCCGGATGTTATTTTTTATGCTAAGTGCTGTTGACCTCCACACAGGCTTGAGAAAAATGAAAGCTTCTCTCTCTTCCCGATCCTTGATATGATATCCTTGTCAGTTCCGCCTGTAGTTGAAACGATGCTACCCAGGTCAGTTGGTAAAGGAGGTTGTTTCTATCAGGTTCCTGCCATTTATACTGATTGTTGTCTGTTGTTGTTGCTGTTGGTGCTGGCCAGGTATCTTCATCACCTCTGTTTTCTCTATGTTCACCTGAAGTCCTTCCTATCTTTGATGCTTCTTCTGCCAACTTGTGGCTTTTCACTTGCATATCTTCAGTTTATGGGAAATGAGACATATATCATCATCGGCGAGGTCCAGATCCTCCAAGTTTTTTGTATGGGTCCATTTAATGTCTGTTTTCTAGCTGCCCGCCATTGTCTGTCGCATTATCCAATCTACTGCAATCAGGAAAATCATTGGCGATAGTAGGCAGCCTTGCCTCACTCCCGTCCTCACTTCGAAGGATTCCATAAGTTTCCCGTTGTGGATTACTCGGCATGCAGCTTTGTCGTATAACTTTTTGGTGATGTTTATTATTGTTGGCGAAATCCTGAAGTAGCGAAGTGGTTGCCAGATGACCTCTCGATCGATGCTGCGCTGTCGAAGGCCTTCTCAAAGTCGATGAAGTTGAGATAGAGAGGTGACTGCCATTCCAAGCTTTGTTCAATGATGATCCGTAGAGTGGCGATTTTATGAATATATGACTTGTTTCTCCTGAATCCAGCTTGTTCCGGCCGAAGGTTTTCATCCAGGTTGGCGCGTTTGATTCTCTCGAGGATGATGCGACTTAGTATTTTGCTTGGGATGAATGGGAGCGTAATTCCTTGCCAGTTTTTGCATTGACTTAAGTCTCCTTTCTTTGGTAGTTTGAATAAGTATCCTTTCTTCCAATCCTCGGGTACTTTGCCCTCTTTCCACACCTTCTCCAGTAGTGGTGTCATCAAGTCCGCTGTTGTCTCTGGGTCCATTTTAATGCTTCTGCTGGGATTCCATCTGGTCCTGCTGCTTTCTCAGCTTTTAGCATCTTGACTGCATTCATGACTTCTGATTTCGTCAGAGGGTCGATGTTCACTGGTAGTTCTGCTTTCGTTGTTGGTATTGTTGGGCGCGATGTATATGGCGGACGATTTAGAAGTCTTTTGAAGTGTTCAACCCAGTGCTTTCTCTGTTCCACCTCTTTGGTGATTGACTTTCTATTGTCGTCCTTTATTGGCTTAATCTGTGTCGAACGTTTACCCGATAGATGCCTAGTTGTTTGGTAAAGTATGGCGAGGTCTCCTTTGCCTGCAGCTTGTTCTGCTTCACTTTCCATGGCTTCATAATATTTTCTTTTTTCTTCCCTGGCACTCTTCTTTACTCTTTTGTTCAGTGTATTGCAGTTTGCATTCAACTCCTGTTTTTGTTGCTCATCGGTGCACTGGATATTCTTTTGTTTCACTGTCCTTCTCTCTTCTATTAATTTCCAAGTGCCCGCAGTGAGCCATTCTTTGTCCTGTCTCTTCTTCTGCCTAGAACTTCCATGCAGGTTTGACTCCACACCGTTTTCAAGTTGTTCGTTCTAGTTAATTTTACATTTATATTTTTCCTGTTATCAACCAGACTGACACCTGAAGTTCTTTTCTTTCCACTGTCTTTATGCATTCAATCGGGGGAAATTAGTGGTTACCACTTTCTAGCTAGTTAGTTAACATATGCAAATATTTAAGTATTTTAACGCTAAAACTGTTTTAGCACTGGGATATTATGCGACGTAGTGGTTCTTGTGCATGGCTGGAAGAGGGTTTTGCGCTATGTGTACGCTTCCCACTCTGATATGGTTTTCTGCCTCAGTCTAGGCGTCCATAGTATACGAAACTTGTATTTAACTAATAATAATAATAATAATAATAAAAATAATCTATACAGTTGGCCAGAAGAAACTAAATATAATGATAACCCATATTATCCTGCCCAATTGGTTTTTCTCACTTTTGTTTTGCTACTTGACATTTAACTATGATTATGATCACAAATATTATAATTGCATTTCATACTATTATCATTATTATTTCATGTATTCACACGTTTGATCTAAATCCCTCACCGGATATAATTTCTTAAAAACCATATATACGCGAGTGTACAGCTTGATAATAAATTAGTTGTTGAAAAGAGTCTCTTAGCTGAATATTTTAATTCTTAATGTTCCTACTTTGTTCAAAGTTAAATATTTGTTATGTTTAATGTGTACGACTACTTTATTGCTCATTGTAAGTGTTCACATTTCTCCCTGTGTCTTTAATTCTTAGCTAATGAACTGGAAACTCAGCTCTTCAGGAATGAATGCAGCCACTGAAAGCTTTCTTATCGTACATCGTTTTGGTTCAGTAAGTTGTAATATCCTTGTCATTTATTATTTATGTCTTGAATAGACTATAAACTCATAATTTTATAGAATATATTGTTTTTCAGTCAAAGCATAAACAACGAAAACAACGACACTAAAGGCTTTATTGTTCTATTTTTCTAAAAACCGTCTAATGTTCTTGGGTACAGCTGTGTTTAAATTACTGTCTTCAAACAACACTTCTTTAGGTAGAAATAATGTTCAGTTAAATTATATAGAGTGAAGTTTTATTGTTAATATTCTTCCCTTGGTTTTTGAGTGGAGCATAGGGCTTTGATAGTCTATCCGCGTTTCATTCTCTTCTCTTCTCTTCTGTACCTGTCGACTGGCTGCAATGCAACTAATAAACTTTTGTTCACACTTCACAAGATTTCTTCAGTGTATCAACCCATAGGCATACTCAGCTTGCACCTACCTTTTCAAGTTCCAGCCAAGTTAAACTAACTACATATCAGCGAACGACCTCGAATGGTCCAATAAGGTTCATGCACGTACGTTCAAGGTTGTATAGCGCTTGATTCGTTTCAAACGCTTGCTTTAACGAAGTTATGCTTGCAGTTCTAGGAGGATAAGGTTTTTCAGTATAGGGGTCGCTTAGGAAGGAGAGGATTTGTTCACATGGTGGTATCATGAGTTTAAAAAGCTTTATCAGGTCGATTGTGTAATTTGCTTGAGACAAGTTAGTATTAAGGAAAGTAAGCTGATAATTTTAATATTTCATAGGAACATTTTTTCCTAGGTTGTATCTCTTCCTAACCCAGACCTTGTATATTTATAACTACTGGGTTTCAAAACAGACAATGGGAGGCGCAGTTGCTGAAACTGAAAATAGCTTCGTTTCAACACTTCAGTGGTACCAGCACTGCGAAGACGTAGCATCATGCAAAATGGAGGGAATTACTTCTCTGTTAGGCGGAGAAGGTATCGTCGTACACTTGGACGAAACTGTCTTACGGAATAGACACATCTGATCATAGGGAACGATAAGAAGACAGACAGTTGCAGCGAAGAAAATTTTCTTTTCGACGAATTCATTAACTAGGCTGTACATTCGTGTAATTATAATAAATGGGAGGGAAAGTTCCAGAATAATTTCTGGTCCAGGGTCAAATTAATAAAATTACAATTAGGAATTAAAATGCTTTAAGTAAACAGGGGGACAGAATAGACTCAAACAAAGTAGGATCATAAATACTGAGAGGATTAATGTATTGTGCAATTAAGATTTACTGAAGAAAAAATACAACCGTGGTCGTGAGCAACCCAATTGTGTTTGGGTGATCGGTTTATATGACACCTCCCTGCGGAAACGATTCGTGAAGAGAATAATAGATAGAAAGTCTGCTACCATAGTACCTATTTTCACTCGATTTGTGAAATAGGGATCTTTAATATAAACTGATGAATGGAAAGGTTATAACTCGCTGTCATCTCTTGGGTGTATTCATCACAGAGTGAACCATTCTAGTGATTTTGTGGATCCAAATACAGGGACATACACTAATTCTATAAAAGAATTTTGGGGAAGATTGAAAAATAGGATTAAGGCTATAAATGGATCTCTAAAGGGTCTCATTTATAGTCATTTGAATTAATATATAAATATAACGTGGTGTGACTTTTCTATTTTTGTCACATGCTAGTGAAAGATACCCTATGTAACAGTTTTATGCAGTTTTTATGCTTTTTACCATAAATGTACGTTTTCTTTTCATGCGACTGGTCCGTAAAAGGTAGTTCTCTCATTGGCGCTTAAAGTTTAACTTTTCCCAGGTTCCATTCGAGAGTCTGCCTGTCGCGTGGTGACACTCAATAGTCCGCTTAGTGTATGTCCAGTAAACTTCTCTTTCCTTCCGAATATTTTTTTGGACAACTAGTTCTTGCGAGAACTCCTTACTAATAATTCTTTCTGGCCGTCCACCCTTCATTATGCAGCGAAGGCATACATACTAGGCGCCAACATATCAACAGAAGCCAGCTGTTTTGGTTTAATCCATCAAAGAAGAAACACAAGAAATGATTTAAACAAAATAATGCTCACACTGATTGGTCACTTATGGAGAGAGAGTAAGAAATGCCACCAAAATAGGTGGCACTATGATGTAATGCTAGTTGGTTCAAGGCAGTGTTCACGAGGCCTTACATCTAAGCTTCATGGCTATTCGCACAAAGAATAGGTAGATTTTGTTTTGTAGTTAGAGCTGCTATAATAATGCCTGCATCATAGATTAATACACAAATTAAGTTTCAACGGAATAAGGATGATCATCAAATATTTTTAAAAGAGTGATTAGTAGTGAAAAAAGAAAAGTCTTTTTGAATATTTCTTCTTCATCAGGCTCTACAGCTACATATCTTAATATTCAGATAGTCATTGTTATTAACAATATTTATATATTTTAAGTAACACTGAGACAATAAGATAAATAGATTACAGTTCGAAAGCATCTGCAAGTGATCAAATATATTATAATAATAGACTGTAAATCACTTTGACTAAGGAAAGTAATGCCGTGGTAATTACTCTATAAGTTCCACGACAAACCAGCGAGGAGATAGTGGCCGGACCTGTCGGAAATTAGTCAGTGGTCCTCTTCAAACGAAATTAAGCTGAATCCGTCTAAATGTCAGGTAGTCAGTTTCACTTTCAGACATTGACGTGACCTTCAACAACTAGCTAGCTCACATGGCCCCACTATCATTGACGGCACAGAGGTTGAAAACACATCTAATGTCAAGTACCTTGGGCTGAGTTTTTCCACCGATCTTTCCTGGTCTTCCCACATCTTGCTGGTTACTAGAAAGATGTTTCGCTTAACGTTCTACGTTAGGAAATAAAGCAGTCTTTGCTTTCTCAGTTTGTCAATTCTTGTATCCTACCCATCCCCCTGTACTGCTCCCCATTAATCTTTCCTGGACTACTTAAGAAAGACTTTGCTTTGCTAAGGAGGGCACTAAAAGCCGTTAGTAGGGCAAGTGGGATATCGTTAAACCAACTGGTTAGCACTATTGTGGATAGACATATTGTGTCATGTAAGAAACTAGCGAATACAATATTGTCAGACCCCGAGCATCCTCTCTATACGCAGCTGTCTCCTTGCATTTCATCTGGTAGAACTAGAAGCAGCTATAGGAGGCTATATATTAGGACTACCAAGTACAAAATCTCCACAATACCATACCTGGCATAGCTGTTATGTGATGAGAAATCCATTAGGTATGACACGATCAACTTACTGAGGCACTCTAACAAATAGTCTCATTAGTTTTTGTTTTCCTTTCCTCCTTAATATTACACTGTTGTTCTCATCCTCTATCACACATCAACTTTATATTTCATATCCTGTGGTGCATTGTTTTAAATGTAAACGCAACGCTGTTCTTTTTATTTTTTTATTTATCTTTTTTTCTTCATTTTTGGGTGTTACACTTTGATTTTAAAATCTTATAAAGTTTATGTGAGGTAATTAGATGCAATACATTGTAATGCACGCTGAAAGTTCCATACCTGCATCACAAATACTCTTTGGGATAAAGCTGTCATTATTATTATTATTATTTTTACTTAGAGCTGTAGTGGGTGTAAGCGATGGCATAGGATTCCACTGCCTGGAGTATTCAGTGCCTGAAAGCTTTTGAAAATGTATTTGTTATTCCAGAGATGATACAAAACCATACTTCAATATTAGCTTTCATGTCTGTTCTGACCAGCTGATTTAATGTCGAACTGCAGGCATTTTTTACTGCACCTTTTTACGGCCTCACTGGTAGGAGTTCATGAGCACAAGCGGCTAAGATCCTAGAGCAGCGACTAATATAATTAACTTTACAGGAACCGCTGAACTGGTGAATACAATAAGAGGTGACTGGACTTAATACTTGATCTTTCAGTTATAGAATGACACCGAGTCATGTGGAAGATATGACCTACAGTTCATAGGCATTACAGGTTTTTCGAACCAATCCTTTTAATTTGTTGGTTTCTATTCCATTTTGGTGCACCAACTTTGAATTTAGTCCTATATATATATGGGCCTCTTGTTAACACAGAGAGAAGAATTCTTTTTTGCTCTCTTGAAAATGTGTTCTAGGATGAACTTTTCAGGGTAGCTCTTTTCAGTAAACATGTCATTTACAACATAAGTTCATATTTAGTAGGATCTTCTGATAAACATAGCTGCGATATTGCAACCAAGTGTTTTTATGAAATTTCTGTTTTACTGAAGTGGAACAAAGCTATGTAAAGATTCGTTTTTATTCCTTCTCGCTCCCAGTAGAACACAGATCTTCAAGCCAGAGGCTTGAAGTTTCTGTAGCAGTGTTGTTTATTTTTACAGGATGAGGTTGCTAGCCTCATGCCCAACCTCCCCTTTTTACCAGCTTTATTTCTGGCTTATCAAGGTAAAGGAGTGCGTCTGTGGCCGGGGATCGAACCCTGAACCATGTGGATGGTCGGCGAGCGTCCTAACCGCTGTGACACCGACGCACACGTAAAGATCGAAGCTGTTATTACTAATGATTCTTGCGTTATTATGAACGTATAACTGTAGAATCTGATAAAGAAGAAATTAGAGAAAATATAATATTCATTGTTCACTGCAAATTATTCCTCTAAAACAATTTTTCACCAAATAATCACGAACATTTCGTGGATATAGGTAATCTCTACTAATTAATTTCACTTAAGTTATCCCCCCCTCGCCCACCCAATTAAATGCATATAGTCTTTATAACCGCTACTACCACTACTAATATTAAATAACTGTCATTTATGTTTGTCTTTTATCAGGTTCATAATCTGTGTCTTTTTCCCAATCATTTCTGTTCACTTTTGCCTTTAACGTTGTTGTTGTTGTTTTTTCTTTCAAAGAGGCATATTTGACAGGGATAATGGTATGAAAAATAAGACAGGCTATAATGTCCTATTCTAAAGCGTATTCTAAACACTATCCAGTTTATCCACAAATCATAATTGTCTGC